GGAGGAAAGTAGGATGGGGTGGGAACTTAAAAGTGGGTGGCTTATCAGTCACCACCCCTAGGCTTTGCCTGGGGTGGCCTCTGTAACTGCCTCCCCAGCGGTTACTCATTGCAGAGTCATTGTGAAAGGGAAGTCCCAGAAACAACAGTCTGGACTTCTAACCCATACCTCCTCAGTTGCTCAAGAATGGCAGTTGGCTTTTGCATCAGTCCCTCTGTACCATTCTTCCTCCACCCTAACCCCTATACTACCTCCCCAAAGCCTATGTGTGGCAATTTCCAAGCTAGTATTTCCCCACTACTGTGGCAATATTCTGGTTTCTCAGAGTCTGAGGGACCCTGGATTGGGGACCTCAGGAGATGGAGGTAGAAGGAATCAGGTTTTCTGAACCCCTCAGCATGACACCTGGTCTGTCAGGGAACATATATGTCAGACCATCCTACTTTCTCCTCAACTACTTATACTTTTTGGAGTTTAGGTTAATTTGACAACTTGGAATGGTCTTCTTAGGGCCCAAAACTGGTAATTCGGCTTAGATCAGAGCAGATGCCATAACTGGTAAACAGGTTAAAAGCCTAAGTTAAGCTATTCCTAGTTCTACCTCACTCCCATATCATTATCTTAATCACAAAAATCATACTGATCATGTTGGAGGGTGGGAAAGTGGAGACACACATCCTTGGCAATGTCCTTTTCATATTTTTTTTATTCACTAATTTAACAAACACATGAGTACTTACTCTGAGTCAGGTATCTGTCCAGTGAGAAAGATAGCCAAATAAACAAACTGACTCGATTAGACCAAAGTGCTCATCACTATGATATATAGCATAGTTTTTACATGTAATATAATAAGTATAAGCTATACTATAGTATATACAATATAATAAGTAATTTAGCATGTATAAACTACAATGGAAAAACATGAGTGACCAACTTTCTGAGGAGGGCAGAAGCAGTTTCACAGAGGAGAATTTAAATGAGACTTGAAATATAAGTAAGATGATAGCAGGAAGCTTACAGATAGTGGTAGAAATAAGGGCATCATAAGCATTCTAGAAAACTATCCTAAAATACATGTGCAGACATATATACAAAACAGGTAATTTGGAGTGATTAAAATTCTGTGTGGTTTTATCACAGAATTTATGTTGAGGAGTGGCAGGAGATGAAACTGGATAGATGTGCCAGTCCACATTACTGGGGACCTAGAATGTTATGCTGAGTTTAGAATCTGTTCCCCAAATAATGGAAACTTACTGAAGGGAATATGAAAATTTATTTAGCAACTCCTTGAAGTATACCTTCTAAATGCAGATTCAAACAGTCTAACAAATGAACATGTAATTATGTGATCAATAAGACCAGAGTTTTAGATCTTAAACTATGCTGGAAAATATGAAATCTATGTCTACCACCTTTATGATTATCACTGCCTAAAGATAGAATGTCCATTTTTGGTCTATCAAATGTCTATAAATATAGATCAAATTTTAATTTTGTATACTTGTTTCCAGAAAGCCAAGAGCCAAAACTTTTTGAAATGATAAAATATTAGCCAAAAAAGGGAAAAGAGTTCAGCAAGAAAAATAAGATTCTGCCAGCAAGAGAACAATAAGGGGTTGCCAAGAAACCTTGAAATGCTAGACCTGGGGTGAAATAATTGGAACCTGGGAAAATAGATACAGATACTAAATGACAATCAATATCTTGACCCTTCTCACCACATATCCTTCTTATCAAGAATATCTTATTTATGTGCCACTTTTTGCAGCTCTTCTCTATTTATTGAAAACTAAAAGGAGAACTAGATTAAGTCCAAGCTCTGAAAAACAGAGTATAATGTCAAGGGCTTAGTTGCGTCCTCCAAAAATTCATATGTTGAACTCTCAGCACCTCAGAATGTGATAATTGTATTTGTATATACGGCCCCTAATGAGGCAATTAACTTAAAATTTTGTCATTAGGATAGGCCCTAATCCAAACTGACTGCTGTCCTTATAAGAAGAGGAAATGTAGACACTAAAAGAGACACCAGGAATGTGTACATGTGGAATAAAGAACATGTGAGGACACAGTGAGAAGGTAGCCACCCACAAGTCAAGAGAGAAGCCTCAGGAGAAACCAAACCTGCTGACATCTTAAAGTTCTAGCTTTCTGAACTGTAAGAAAAAACTTTTTTTTAGTCACCCAGTCTGAGTTATTATGGCAACCCTAGAAAACTAATCTGCAGAGACTGATTTTATTTTATTTTTTTGTGGGTCCACTGTCCACTGACACCTTTCTCATGGCATTATGAGTCCCTGGAAAAGGAAGTCCTTCTTAGTAGTCTTCTTAGTAGTCTGCCTTTTCCTCTTTTAACTACTATGACCAGATCACCTCATTGGCAGCAGCACCTAAGCAATGAATCCAATTTCCTATATCTTCTACTTCAAGTCTGGTCAAGGTACCAAGTGATTTTGTCACTGGCATATTTTGTCCCCATCTGTGAGGTCCCCAGAAATAGTCAGAAATAGGATAGTCATGGCAGGAGTATCATAGATGGGAGATCCCATCAGCTTTTAGGTAAAGTCAAATGGAAAGTCAGATCCCTGCATTTTCAGTTAAGAGAGTTATTGTGTTCAGCTCTGCTCATAACTAGTTATGTAACTTTTAAACACAACTTTTAATCTCTCTAAACCTTGGCTTTCTCATCAATAAATGGGTGGCAACATGTATCTTACTGGACTCTTATAATGGATAAATGAAATGATATGTAAGAGCTGATTATTTTTAAATCTGGAGTAGTTGAATTTTGGATAGTCATCCTGAAGCTGTGCCACATCTCACAAGGATCACATCCTCCTTCCAACTCCACATCCTCTACTTGCTCATATAAAGGCCAGATTAGACCAAATTTGATTCTATTTGGAAAATGAACCAAACATAATCAGCAAGAAACATATGAGCTTAGCCTTTTGCAGAAAGAATTGAGCCTAAAAAATAATTTGGACACATACTACTGGTATGAAAGTAAACTAAACGTGTCCCAAGTCTCAATCAATAGAACAGGTTGTGTCCCAAGTCCAGTGATGAGGAAGATGCAGCAGGAATGGAATTTTGTATATAGAAAACAGTAACCTATTCAATTATGTGTATTTTGGCTGAAATTTCTGTTGTGTTGTGACAACAGAGAGGAGGTTGAGGGGAATTGTCTTCCTAGAGGCTAGAGAAAGAGGAGATAAAAACAAATGAATGTGTTGATGTGCTACTGGCACTATCCATGAAGGGGCACTGAGGAGATGTGGTTTAGAAACAGCGTGTGTAATACAACTTTGAGATTTCAGTGGACAGTGGGCTAAATATACATCAATTGTGAAATGTGGTGGCCAAAAACTAAAGCTGTCTTTGGCTGCATTAACAAAAATACAGTGTCCAGAACAAGGGAGGTGATAGTCTTATTCTACTTAACACTGCTCAGACCACTGAATGTTTTCCCTTATGGGCACCATGCTCTGAGAGGAACATTGACAAACTGGGACAATTGAAGCCCCAGTATTTTCCTGAAGTAGCTATGGGTTTAAACATTCCCCTGGAGCAGCCCTACCTCCAAGATCAGTATAGCCATGCCCTGATCACAGACTAACTTCAAGCCATATCATAAAACTTTCATCAACCAGAGAGCCGTAAGTCCTAGAGAATTTGAAGTCTTATATTCATCAGCTTCTTAAGCTTTTGGGTCTTAAAGGCATGAGTCAATTCAACTAAAGATCATTCTATTTTGTTATAAAACTTCATAAATAGAAACTATTTAGGCCATTGCCACCTACCACAACACAAACTGTTTTCTGTATTAAGAAGACTTTCCTAGGTCCCAAGCCTAGATGGGTTTCTCAGTAAAGCATGGAAACGGTGCAAATGTGGGCACATAAGGCCAGATAAAGTGGACTACTTTTCCAAACTTTATGGACTTCCTCACATAACCATTAGGAGTATTTCTTCTCAGGATTGTGGTTTTTCTCAGAGTGGATGGCGTCTCTCCAATGAATCATTGGAGTTTGATGGATCACACTCTGGGGCGACACTTAATCCTCCCTTCCATGTTTCTTGAGGTTGAGGGTGGTTTCTTACTGCAGAGCATACAGAAGAGGCAAGGATCCTTGAGCATGATCTTACTGTCTTCTTGAAAGAGTAAGTACAAAAAAGTCTGAGGTGCTCTTATTATTCTCTGTCCTTACACTGCCTGTTGATGTGATTAATGTTGTTCTTGTTGATATTGTTGCACTTGTTTTCATGAATCTGGATATTCTTGCTATTGCTCTGAGTTTCGATTTTGCTAATATCATGGGTGTTGCTCGTGTTGATAATGCTATAATGGAGTGCACGGTCCTACTGGATTCCCACAAGTAACAAGTTCCCTAGTTTCTTCAGAAAGTACTTGATCTACCCATTACCTATTTCTTCTGGTTTTCCTAGAAGGATTCTGGTAGTGGACTTGTCCTGGGGATACAGAGGATGGTCTTTGCCTCATTTTTGGCCAAAGATTAATAATTAAGTGTTAGATTATCTATTCAACCAGTGTTTTTATTGGAGAAGGCAATGGCAACCCACTCCAGTACTTATGCCTGGAGAAACCCATAGACAGAGGAGCCTGGTGGGCTGCAGTCCATGGGGTCACGAAGAGTTGGACACGACTGACCAACTTCACTTTCACTTTTCACTTTCATGCTCTGGAAAAGGAAATGGTAACCCATTTCAGTGTTCTTGCCTGGAGAATCCCAGGGATGGCGGAGCCTTGTAAGCTTCCATCTATGGGGTCACACAGAGTCAGACATGACTGAAGCGACTTAACAGTAGGAGCAGTGCTTTTATAGTTAACTTTATTTCAAAAAGCAATACCTTTCAAGCAGATTGTAATAATAAAGCTGATGAGAAATAGCCTTCAAGGGATGAAAGAGCCTTTCCAATTTGTCCTTTCTGTTTGAATGGGAGCACTAATACTCATCATTTCTCTATTGCAGCCTACCCAGTGGCCCACCAGCTTGGATTCCTCAATCGTTTAAGTCAAGGTATTTTATTTCATAGCACTTATAATTATTTGAAACTATTTATATGAAGGTCCATATAATCAAATCTATGGTTTTTCCAGTAGTCATGTATGGACATGAGAGTTGGACCATAAAGAAGGCTGAGTATCAAAGAACGGATGCTTTTGAATTGTGGTGGAGAAGACTCTTGAGAGTCCCTTGGAAAGCAAAGAGATCAAACCTGTCAATCCTAAAGGAAATCAACCCTGAATATTCATTGGAAGGTCAGATGCTGAAGCTGAAGCTCCAATACTTTGGCCACTTGATGCTAAGAGCTAACTCATTGGAAAAGACCCTGATGCTGGGGAACATTGAAGGCAGGAGGAGAAGGGGATGACAGACAGATGACATTACTGACTCAATGGAAATGAGTTTGAGCAAACTCTGGGAGATGGTGAAGGACAGGGAAGCCTGGAATGATGCAGTCCATGGGGTTGCAAAGAGTCAGACAATGAATTAGGGAACAACAACAATATATATAGACAAATCTTCCCTGGTGGCTCAGATGGTAAAGAATCGACTTGCAATGCGGGAGACCTGGGTTTGATCCATGGATTGGGAAGATCCCCTGGAGAAGGGAATGGCAACACACTCCAGTAATTTTGCCTGGAGAATCCCCATGGACAGAGGAGCCTGGTGAGCTACAGTCCACGGGATCTCAAAGAGTCAGACACGACTGAGCAACTGAGCAACTGAGCACATAAGCAGATGGACAGAGGAGCCTGGCAGGCTATGGTCCATGGGGTTGCAAAAAGTCAGACACAACTGAAGCAACTTACAATGCGAGCATGTATGGTCATTTAATTAATATTTATCTATCCCATTTAACTGATGATAATTTTCACGAGGGCAGGAATTATCTCTTTTGTTGTTGCTGTTCAGTCACTAAGCCCTATTCAATTCTTTGCAACTCCACAGACTACAGCAGACCGGGTTCCCATGTCCTCTTTTGTTCAACATTATATATTCTAGAGACTGGAAGATAACAGGTTCTCTAGCTGAAATAGTTGAAAAAAAGAATCAACAGATGCTAAGAAAAGTTCACTTGCCTCTTAACATTCAAAATGCTAACATGTTAGCTATTTATTCAGTGGTATTTTATATATAAACCTTAAATGTGATATAAAAAGAAAGAGAAATACAAATGTAAGTATCAACAAAGGGTTTGAATAGATATTTCACAGAAAGGGAAAAACAAGTGTTTGCTAAATATATAGAATATATAGAAGATCTGCTGGGGCTGCTATGGCTTGGACCTGAGGATGGGTGCCTCCCCAAGACTGTGACCTTGGTATCAGGATCAGCCTTGACTGAACCCCATGGAGACCCATGATCAACAGGATGGTGCTGTCCTGGGTAAGAGAGGTTAGGTTGGGATGCCAGGTGTGAGGACAAGATGGTGGAGTAGAAAAACCTGAGCTCACTTTCTCTCACAAAAACATCAAAATCACAACTACCTGCAGAACAACCTTCAGCAAAAAATATTTGAACCTACCAAAAATGATATTCTACTTTCAAAGACAAAGAAGAAGCCACAATGAGATGATAGGAGAGATGCATTTGTGAAACAATCAAATCTTATACCCACTGAGTGTGTGACCCACAACCTGGAAAAGAACTTTATTGCAAAAGTTCTCCCACAGGAATGAGTTCTAAGCCCCGCATCAGGCTCCCCAACCTGGGAGTCTGAAATCAAGAGGAGGAGCTTCCAAAGCATTTGGCTTTGAAGGTCAGAGAAGCTTGGTAGCAGGAACTCAACAGAACTGGGCAAGTAGAAACTCCACTCTTGGAGAGTGCACACAATGTCTCATGTGCTCTGAAACCCAGGGGGAAAGTAGTGACTTTGTAAAATCCTTGGCCAGACCTCCATGGTGAACTTGGAGGATTTTCTAGGGAGTAGGGGGTAGCTGTGGCTCACTGCAGGGACAAGGACACTGGTGGCAGAGATACTGGAGGGTATTTGCTGCCACGACCTATCCTGGAGGCTGCCATTTTGATTCCTAGATCTGGCCCCACCCAAAAGCCTATAGGTTCCAGTGCTGAGGGCTTCCCTGGTGGTTCAGATGGTAAAGACTCTGCTTGCAATGCAGGAGACCTGGTTCAATCCCTAGGTCGGGGAGATCCACTGGAGAAGCAAATGGCAACCCACTCCAGTATTCTTGCCTGGAGAATCCCATGGACAGAGAAGCCTTGTGGGTTACAGTCCCTGGGTCACAAAGAGTCAGGCACGACTGAGCAACTAACACTAGACATTAGGCTCCAGTGCCGGGATGCCTCAGGCCAAACAATCAACAGGGCAGGGATATAGCCCCACTCATCATCAGACAGGCTGCTTAAAGTTTTCCTGAGCCCACAGCTGTCTCTAAACACCACTTAACATGGCCCTGCCCACTAGAGGGACAAGACCCAGCTCCACTCACCAGTGGGAAGGCACCAGTCACTCCCAACTAGGAGGTGTGCACAAGCCTCTTAGACCAGTCTCATCCACTGGAGTGAAGACACCCAGATGCAAGAGGAACTATTATCCTGAAGCCTGGGACTGAAAACTCAGGAAGTTAGACAAAATGAGATAGCAGAGGAATATGTTACAGATGAAGGAACAAGATAAAACCCCAGAAGAATATCTAGAGATAGGCAATCCACCTGAAAAATAATTCAGAGTAATTATAGTAAAGATGATTCAAGATCTTGGAAAATGATGGAGACACAGACTGAGAAGATACAAGAAATGTTTAACAAAGAGCTAGAAGACATAAAGAACAAACAAAGAGAGCTGAAAAATACAATAACTAAAATGAAAAATACCCTAAAAGGAATGATAGCTAAATAAATGAGAAACAAGCTGGAAGACAAAATGGGAGAAATCACTGCAGTGGAACAGAATTTTTTTTTGAAAAAAGAGTGTACACCAATGGTTAATTCATGCTGAGGTATGACAGAAATCAAACCAATATTGTAAAGCAATCATCAATCAATTAAAAATAAGTAATTTTTTAAAAATAAAAAAATGTAAAGAAATGATGATAGTTCAAGAGTCCTCTAGGACAACATTAAATACACCAACAAATATATGAAAAGATATTTCATATTAAAACTTGAAATTGGGCAGTTTTACTACTAATCAGGGAAATACAAATTAAAATAACAATAAAATATTACCTCTGATCACCAAAAGTTAAAGTTTGATAATTTCAAGTTTGACAAAGTTGTTGAAAATAATCTCAAGCACTGCTGATGAGAATCTAAATTGGTTCAGTCATTTTGAAGGGAATTTTTCAGCATATACTAAATGTTAAAAAAGGCACCCAAATTATATAATTCACTTTAAAATAATCTAATATATATGGGGAAGTGGAGTATAAATGAAACAAGTTTGGCCATGTGTTAATTATTGAAGCTGAGGGCTATGCATCCCATGACATGCTAATTACTCTCCTCATATCTATCCTAAAGGAACATTTGTACACATGTGCACAAGGAGTCTTGCCAAGCATATTTATTTCAGTGCTGTTTGTAATAGTGAAAGATTGAAAACAACTTAAACTTACATCAATAAGTGACATAGTTGAATAAACAATGGTTGCATCTCTACTATATGATACCACACATCAGCTTAATGAAATGAGATTTGTTTAGATATCCAAGTCATGATTTTGAGTGAAAAAAGTAAATTGCAGACTGATATGTACAGTCTGTCACAATTTATGTAGATCATAAACACCATGTATACCACCAAAATAATGTCTTACATAAAAATCTTTAGAGAACCACCTGTAAGAACATATACATACTATAATAATAGTGGTTATTTCTGAGGGGTGGGAGAGGGGACCAAGACTAAGATAAAATGGGACTGCTGGTTGAAGAATATATTAATATTACCTGTAAATTTTATATACTTAAATTTTTAGAAGAACAATACATTAAGATATTACATGAGTATCTAAAAACCATTTTAAAAGATCCAAAAATAAAAATAATAACCTGAAAAGTTGTTTGTATTAAATTGCTAAGTGAAAAGACATGGTTACAAAACACATAATTGAATTATAAGGGTAAATATACACAGAGGAAAATGTCTGGAAGGAAGTACGCTGAAATGTTTGCAGGGTTATCTTTAGGTGGTGGTGGTGGAATTTTAGGTAGTTTTATTTTACCTCTTCTGTGGATTTGCTTACCTGTATTTTTTTGTTTGTCTAAAATAAATATATAATATTTATATAATAAAAATAAGCTAAAAATAAAGTATGATAACCACTGAATTTGCCTTTATAAAGATACAGGCTCCCTTAAAACAAAAGGAGTCAGTGATGTAAAAGAAAAGATTAGATGAAAATCTTTAGGTAGAAAGGCCTCAGTCTCTGCCACTCAAAAGTCCAGTCAAAAAACACTGAAACACTGAGCAGTTTATTCTGTATCAGGCCTATTGCAGGGCCATGGCATTGGGAGTGGGAGTGGAATGACTAAAACCAAATTCCTACTCTAAGGTTGAATTTGTACTTGAGACTACTTCACTGTAATTCCCACTGCTACTGCTCTGCACATGACCCCTCTCCTCCAACTGCCACCATTATAAAACATATCAACATAGAAAATTTGCTTCCAATACAGACACTTCAGGTTCTAATTTCCTTCTGAAAACCAGCAAAGAAGCACCAATTCTTCTAAATAGTGACACTCAGCTGTCAATAGACTATCCTAAATTTGACTCCATTCCTTCTCATCTAGCTCCTTGTCCCCCTAGCTGAAAGAACCATTTATTTCCTTATTTCCCATTGGTGTTCTTCTATCCCCACTCCCAAGCAAACATACACATACAAACATTCTTTTTGTACTTTTTCTTTGTTATTATAAAAGTAAAACATGTTCAGAATAGAAAACTTTAAAAGTGCAGAGAATTAAATATATGTAAAGGAAAAAAAATTCACAATTTTAGAATCAAGAGGTAAACACAGCTAACTTTTTAAATGCATTTTTTCTTTTCCTTTTCTTGTGTGTGTACAATGGTTGTTTTTCTTAATCGGGATTATAAGCTTCATACTGTATTGTGTCTTCTTTTATTCACTTAGCACCAAAAAAGT